GGGAAGGACACCCAGGAGGAAGCCCAGGAGCCCACACCACGCGGGGGACCGGGCTGCTCTAGGTGGAGCAGTGACAAGGCTCCACTCTGGACAAGTGACGAGGGAGGGCACACCTCACTCCCCTTGCCCGAAACAGCCTAGTGCCCAGAAAGCACCCCATGACCACAGGAACCCCATGTCAGCCTTGGACAGGCCCAAGGCCAGAGACTGGACACCTCAGAGAGCCACCCTACGTGTCCTGTCCAGCTCCCAGCAATAAACTTCCCCACAGCTGAGCGGCGGCTTCCCAGCGTGTCTGTGGGCCCTAAAGTCCAGTGGAGCGGGAGGCCCCCAGCTCCACACCGAGCTTGGTCCCCAGACTGGCCTCTGACGTCCCTCTGCCTTCCTGGGTTTGGTGGTTCCGAGCCTCCCCCAGCCCAGAGGAGGTTCCAGGTCAGGTCAGTGTCAGCCTCAAGGTCAACGTCCCAGAGATAAGCCCTGGGGCAGGACTGGAATGGGGCCACACCCCCTCCTGGGGAGGATGGAGTCTCCGGGTCTAACTCCAAAGGGCAGCTGTACTAGGGAGGAGCAAGAAGAACCACTTCCTACCGTGTGACCCCATGGATAAGTCTGTACCCCTTTGTAAGTCAAGTCATGGGGGTCGGGCACTGGTTAGTGAGGCCTCCTTGAAGATGCAGTACCCTCAGGCTGGAGATGCTTCTGGAATTTGAATTCCTACTCCCACCCACCCTCACGCTCCAGCCAGGGCCTCTTCCCTTCATCTAGGGGGATCCCTAGACTCTCCCCCTGACCCTCCCTAGGACCGGCCGCCTGAGCTCCCAGCTCTGGTCGGTCCCGGTGCCCCAGCGGCCCACAGCCCTCAGCCTGGCTGCCCTCCGCATCTGTCTCGTCCCACGGAGCCTTTCTAGGTGTCCCAGGAACTCTATTTTTTACAAATATTTTTAAACCATAAGAGAAAGTTTCTTGTTTAGAAAGTTTAGAAGAAGTGAATGGTAGAAGAAATGGGCTCAGGAAACGAGTTGCAGAGGCAAAGCAAACGTAGGGCCCTCGGAGCTCAGGGGAGAGAGGGGCACAGTGACCCGCCGGGGGAGGGGCGGGGGCGGGGCGTGCTCCAGGGAGGGAGACCACCCATGCTCCGTGGTTCTTGACTCCAGGAGAGAGAGGAAGAACAGGTAGAATGGTCAAAAACTTAGAAATAATTCCCGGACTACTAGACAGGGACCGCGCTTCGGTTTCTTGTTTTTAAACTCCTCAATGAGAAGAGGTAACAGCCAGCAAGATGGCAAAGCCACTTTAAGTGAGAATACAAGAAACCGACACACACAGGCATCGAGTGGGGAGAAAAGAAGGAACCCTGAGATAAGAGTGCTAACTGGACACAAAATTGGCCAATACCCTGTAGGGTGACATCGCCCACTGGGCAGAAACCCTCTAGCACGTCACGGAAAGGCCTGGAACCATCTTTCTGTTCTATCCCCACTTCCGAGGGCCACCGGCCAAGAGGATGGCATTCAGGTTTGCGGCCCCTGCTTGCATTAGATCTGGCTGCGACCAGACCCCATGGGACCAAGCCCAGGCCAGTAACGCGTAACCGACTTGACCAGTGAAGGTCTGACTGGGTCACGGCTTCCGTCTGAGCCAGCTGACCTCTCCTTCAAAGCTCACCTCTCCTGAGGCCACTGCACCCTCTCTGCCTGGATGGCCCTCAGCGTCCCAGGGGTCCCTCACTGTCCACTTCCTGGCTGGTTCTCGACCAGTGCCCCGGCCAACCAGTGACCCCGTGGCATAGACAGCCCTCTTCCCATTTTCCCGAAGGGAATCACCCAATACTGAGATTGAGAAGGATCATTGGACCAACGGCCTAATGGTTTAATAAATGTAACCATTTAAGGACTTCCAGCAACAATGCCTCGTCATCAGGATGGTCCCATCTGAACCCGCTTCCTCTACAACCCTCTAGCGTCTCGGCCTGGGAAAGCAAGCCCGTGCGGCTGCACTGACGGAGCTCGGCTGCAGGAGTGGAGTCTGGTCCAGGCCTCCTCCCCACCCGCAGTCCTCTCCGAACCAGGGAGTTGCTGGCAGATGCCCCAGAGCATCCTGGCTACAGCGGCCAGGCCCCAGCAGCGCACGGCCCTGAGGGGCTCAGTCACTCACAGCCACTCCTGCTGATGACGTGCCCTGACATGCCCCAGCCACACCGCTGCCCAGTCGGCAAGGCCCTCCGGGCCGGGGGAGGTCCCGGAGCAGAGCTGTCCAGGCCCCGGGGCGTTACCGGGTCTTTGAATTCACGTGCGTGTGCACACACACGCACACATTCCTCCCAGAACTGCTGGTCGGAGCAGGCTGCTGTGTCAGTCACAAGCTGGGCCCGCAGCTTCCCGGCCTCTCAGTCGTCAGGACACCAGGATGGGCGGGCGGTCCCCCGCTGTGTCCCCGAGGTCAGATCTCTCTCGTGAGGGAGGAACGGGATGCCTCCCTCTCCCCCAGCGACCGAGAGGGGTGCAGCTCATGCGCAGGGCTGCAGGAAGTACGGCCTGTTCAGATGGAGCTGCTTCCCCGTGGCTGCCCTAGACGCCCCTTAGATTCCCGGCAGCTGGAGCACGCAGGCCCAGGGTTGAGCGGTGCCGCTCAGGTCCGCTTTTCCTCCTCTCTGCAAAGATTTGGTGAGTGCCTAAGGAGAGAAGGTGGAGTCTGGGGCCAGGATGGCTGTCAGGTTCCTTCGGAAGGCACAGTCCACAGGACTTACCAACAGCCTCAAGGTGGGGTCTCAGAGAGACAAGTAGAACGTGACTCCGAGATTGTGGGCCGGAGAGTCTGGACAGACGGAGCTGCCGTGAGCTAAAGCAGAGCCTGTGGCAGGAGGGAATTTGGGGGTGGGGGAGACCGGAGCCCAGTTCTGGGCGTTTCAGTGTGAGCTGACCCTGGACCACCAAGTGGGGCTGTAGTGCCGGCGGCTGTGTGGGCTGCAGCTGACTCCGACAGCCTGAGCTGGAGCCCTAGGGTGTCTCAGACATGCCCATGCACACGTAACACTCAGGTGGAGTCGCCCACTTAGGTGTCACATGCTCTTGTCTAGATGTCATGTTTGTGACTTCACGTGTTCAAGGGACTAAAAGCCTTCCAGGAGGGCGTGGGGCGGGACCAGAAAGCTGCTGCCTGGTGGTGTCATTACTGTGTCTCCAACTTATCAGCAGACCTTGGCGTCCCACCACCTGCCTGGTGGTGAGTCTCCCTGTGTCCTCACAAGGAATGTGTGTGCTCTCCACACTGACAGGCTTCTGATAAGATCCAAGGTCGATATCCTGGGTGCTGATAATCACCTTGCCAACAACAGTGGCTTCCCGGTGCCCATCCCTGAAGTCGAGATCACACTACACCCCTCCCCTGCACCCCCCTGGCAGGCCTCCAGCGCCAGCAGGCACAGCCTCCTGACTGAGGGGAGTCGGGTCTGGTGGGACAGGGGCAGCTGGGGCCGCTCCTCGAGACAGCTGTGAAACCCCACACACAGACACCCACTAAGCCCGCCACAGCCCAGCTCCCTCAGCTCTTCAGGGGCCTTTGGGCCTGTCCGTGGGCTGCAGCTTGGCTGGGTGGAAGGCAGGATGTCGCACGGGAGGTGAGAGGAGTAGTCACAGCTTGAGCTGCAGGGACCTTCCCAGCTCTGCCTGGCTCTCTGTGAGGTGTGGAAGAGGCTCAGTATTTGTGCTGAGTACTTGGTCCCTCCGTCCCCCGCCCCTCCCCCCCACCGCCCTTCGCCCATGCTAGGCCATCGGTGCAGATGGCCGGACCCTTGCCTCCTCTGCGCACTGACTTCCTCCTCATCCTGGGAAGATCCCTTCTAAGGGGCCCTCCTAGGCAGAATCCCTCCTTCTCCTCCCAGGGAACACATTGGTCCTCCCTCTGTAGGGGCACTGACCACAAGGTTGAGTCCAAAGCCTGTCTGTCTGCCCCGCTGGCCTTGAGTTCCAGAGCACCTTTGCCTCCTCCGGCCCCAGTGCAGATCCGGCATAGAGCTGAACGAATCAATGATGAGGCTCGCAGGCATAAGCGACAGAGTGAATAAGTGGAGGGTGGGTGGATGGGAAAGGGGTGGGTAAGTGGGTGGGTGAGTAAATGGGTGGGGAGATACGAGGGTGAGCAGTGGATGAATAGGTGGGTGGAGGGATGGACAGTTGAATGGATTCCAGAGACGGTCAGGGGATGGAAGAGGAAGTCACTTTGCCAAGTGAGTGTGGGCTTCCCTTCTGTCCTCTAGAGCAGCCCCCCTTCTAAGAGTTCCCCTTCCTCCCATGAGCTGGCACCACTTCAGGCTAGACAGAGAACTCTTCTGGGTCTCTTCTTCCTGTATGTCCAGACTTTGCATTTTAGGGGGTCAGACAAGGCAGGAGTGACTAAAATGTACTAAGCTTCCACTATGCACCAGACACTAGGCTAGATATTTCTACAGATGTGGTCTTGTTTAACGAAGACAGAATCGCAGTCTTGTGAAATAGGTTCTGTTACTCCCATTTTACATCTAAGAAAACAGGCTTAGAAAAGCTAAGTGAGTTGCCCAAGGTCACACAGCTTATGTCTAAGAAGGATGGGATTTGAACTCAAAACCTGCTCAAGCAGCCAGTGCGGGATGTGCTGGAGGTCAGATGACGCCAAGGAGACAGAGGCAGGGGCGGTGGGCAGCAGGCACAGCCCTGCGCTGAACACAAGGGCTCTGAGTTCCAGTCCTGCCTTGGCCTCGGTTTTATTGGCACACCCGGGATGACATCTGGTCCCTCTCTGGCCTTTGGGGCGCCTGTGCGGACTTGATGCCCCTGCAGGTCTTTTCTGGTGAGCGATACAGACTTCGAGGGGGTGTGGATGGCTCCTGGCCCTTCCTGCAGGATGCTTCCTCACCTGCCCTGACAGTAGGGGAGCCAAAGGGCAGGGCCATCTCGGGCTAATGGTTAACTAGACCCGACACCCCATCTATAAGGAACCACCCTGGCTGGCCAAGACTCCACAGGATGTCGTGGGTGAAGGTGCTTGGGGGGCTGCTGGGGGCAGCTGCCCTCTTGGGGCTGGGGATCATCCTGGGCCACTTCGCCATCCCCAAAGGGGCCAACCTGCCGGCCTCCAGTGACTCAGCCTCCCGGGACCTGGACCCAGAGATCCTTGAGACCGTAATGGGACAGCTGGAAGCCAGCAGGATCCGGGAGAATCTTAGGTGAGAGGCCTGCCTACCCGCCCCTTCTGCTCGCCAGAGGCCCCTCCCTGACCCCGCGCCTGCCCTGGCCTCTGCACGCCCTGCAGAGAACTCTCCAGGAAGCCGCACCTGGCCTCCAGCCCCAGGGATGAGGAGCTGGTACAGCTGCTGCTGCAGCGCTGGCGGGACCCGGAGTCCGGCCTGGACTCAGCTGAGGCCTCCACGTACGAAGTGCTGCTGTCCTTCCCCAGCCAGGGGCAGCCCAACCGCGTGACCATTGGTGAGGTCCCGCCTGCTCTGACCCGGGGATGCCTGTGGGGTGCGGGAGCTGTGGGGCCCAGTCCTGACCCTGCCCCCCTCCCACAGTGGGTCCCACCGGGGATGTCCTCTTCTCCTGTCGCCAAACCGAAGCAAACCTGACTGGGGAGCAAGAGGGGCCCGATGTGGTACCACCCTATGCCGCCTACGCTCCCCCCGGAACCCCACAGGTGGGCCTAGAACACACCCACCACACTGCGGTGGCCCAGCGTCCCCCCTCACTCCCGCTGCTCCCATCCTGACCCCACCCCCAGAATTTACTCACCTCCACACTCCATTGCTACTTCTTTCGCCCATCACTTAGTCTCTCAACAAACGCTAATAGCCCCTGCTCAAGGCCAGGCCAGATACAGGGCACCTGGACACAGAGGAGACCAGGTGGAAGTGTCCTTACAAGCTCTCGGCGAAGTAGGGAAACAATCCGAACCCTTCCTCCTGCCGCCCGCCCTTCCGTCTCGTTTCCCACTCCGTCTTTCCTGGGCCTGGGTCTCAGGGTCCCCTTCTCTTGGGACTAGGGCCTCCTCGTCTACGCCAACCGGGGCTCGGAAGAAGACTTTAAGGAGCTGGAGGCTCAGGGAATCCAACTCAACGGCACCATCGCCCTGACCCGCTACGGGGGCGTCGGCCGAGGGGCCAAGGTGAGCAGCAGCCTTTAGTCCTCAGTGAGGGGTCGGGGTGGGGGAGGGGCCCGGCAGCGGACGGGGCCCAGTGAGAGCAAGGGCGAGGAGCAGTGCTGAGTGGCGGGCAGAGTCCCATTTGCGTTACTGGCTGATGCGCTGTGTGACCTTGGGTGCCCCCTCTTAACCTCTCTGAGCCTCAGGAAATAAAGGAATGAGGCAAAGTTTTCAGCTTCGAAATTTGGGGAGTCTAAGTCCTCCTGTGAAGGACTTCTTCCGAATAGTCAACTTAAATCCCTCCGCTTGCCCTCCCTGCAACCTGCCTCTTTTCCATTACACATTTTGACTAAATGTTACGTGTCCATGGTTTTAACTTTTTTTTTTTTTAAATATAAAGAGGTCTAGGATGAAAGACAGTTTCAATGGGTACAGAGTTTCAGATCTGCAGGACGAACGGAGTTCCGGAGACGATGGTAGGGACGGGTGCGCGATGGCGTGGGTGTATTTACCACCACGGGCCTGCACACTTGAAGATGGTTAGGACAGTACACTTTATGTCAGGCATACTTTATCACAGTTTTTAAGGAAGTGTCCATGATGAGAGCCGGAAAAACAGAAAAAGAAAAAAAACAGAAAAAAGTAGGGGGACAGGCATGACGGAATTTCCAGTTTAAGGAAAAAAAAAAACCGGTTAGTTTATGACATATCTATCCAGAGTTTCTTTTGGAAGAAGCACATATGAATAGATATCATTTCTTTAAAAAGATTTTATTTATTTATTTTTAGAGAGCGGGGAAGGGAAGGAGAAAGAGGGGGTGAGATACATCAATGTGTGCTTGCCTCTCGAGCGCCCCCTACTGGCGAGGGACCGAGCCGCAGCCCAGGCATGTGCCGTGCCAGGGAATGGAACCTGTGACCGTTTGGTTCGGAGGCCGGCACTCAATCCACTGAGCCACACTAGCCAGGAAGGAATATATATTCTTACTTCCCCCTTTTTAACATAGAAGTAGCAGACTATAGCTGCTGTTCTGAAATGTGTTTTTTTTTTTTTTTCACCTTAATACATTCTGGAAATCATCCCCAGTTAGTACATAAACTCTGTCCTTGTTTACTTTCTTTAAAGGTACTGTTTTGCTTTTATTGTGGCAAAACATATGTAAGAAAATGTACTGACATGTACTACTTTGACCATCTTCAAGTGCACAGTGCAGTGGCCTGAAGAACACTCACAAAATCGGGCAGCCAGCCCCACCACCCACCTCCAGAACTCACTCGTCCTTCCAAACGAAACTGTCGCCATCACAGGCTAACTCTTCTTCCCCCGCTCAGCCCCTGGTGACCTCTCTTCAACTCTCTGTCTCTGTGAATTTGCATTTTCTTGGTATCTCATATAAGAGGAATCGTATGGTATTTGTCCATTTATGTCTGCCTTATTTCCCTTAGCATAATGTGTTCAAGTTCATCCGTGTTGTATGAGAATTTCCTTCCTTTTGGGGGCCGAATAACAGCCCCTTGCACGTCATGTGCCATGTTTTGCTTCCCCATCCACCCGTCGGTGGACACCTGAGTGGTTTCTGCCCTTTGGCTACTCTGAACAGCGCTGCTGTGAACATGGGTGGACCGCAGTCCTTGTTCTTCCATACGGCTGCATAGTGTTCCCCGGTAGGGCGCCTCAGTTTACGTGCCCAGCGCACCCCAGTAAGCGCTGGCTTGCTTGTGCCCAGCAGTCTCTTGCTCTCTGGAGCAGCACTGCAACAGATGACTTGGGCAGGCATCACCCTGCCAGTGGGAAGACAGAGCTGTCCTGGATTTCCATGGGAGTGAAGTAAGACGTGCATCCTCCTCGCCCCTCTGCCTAAGACTAGCCTCCTCCTCCTCTAGGCCGTCAACGCCGCCAAGCACCAGGTAGCTGGCGTACTGGTGTACACGGACCCCGCAGACATCAATGACGGCCGGAGCTTGCCCAACGAGACCTTCCCGCACTCCTGGCACCTGCCTCCCTCAGGGGTGGAACGAGGTTCCTACTATGAGTATTTTGGGGACCCTCTGACTCCCTACCTTCCAGCCAACCCGTCCTCCTTCCGCCTGGACCCTGCCACTGCCTCTGGATTTCCCCCAATTCCCATTCAGCCCATCGGCTTTGAAGATGCAAAAGTCCTTCTCTGGTGAGCTTGTGCCCTGGCGTCTCCTGCCCATCCTGCAGTGGCCCCCACACTTCAGCCCGCACACCCATATTTGCTGCCCCCCCCCCCCGCAGTAACCTGCAAGGACCCTCAGCGCCGGCTGCCTGGCAGGGAGCACTGGGCTGTGACTACAAGCTGGGGCCAGGCTTCCAGGCGGATGGTAACTACACAGGCAGGTGAGACGGGGCCCCTCCTCCCGCGACTCTCCTCTCCCCTTCCCTTTGTTAGGCTGCGGGACCAGAGTTCCCCCTCTGCCCACTCCTTCCGGCCTTTCCCTTTTGTCTCTCTCCCAAACCTTTCCCTGACTTCAAAATGTCTGTCTTGTCTTTGGGGGAACCGGTTGAACAGCTGCGTGGCCCCCAAGTTCCCGTGGGGTCCCCCCACCTTATCTCAGGACCCTACTCTCCAGCCACCCCTCTCTCGAACACACCAAGCTTGTTTCCCAGTCAGGGCCTCTGCACTTGCTGTTCCCTCTGCCGGGAACACCCTTCCCGGCGCTCACGGCTTGCACCTGCCACCCGGTAACTTCTCACACATCACCTTGTTAGTGTGGTCCCAGGCCCCTTCACCTCCTGCAGCTGTCCACTCTCTGGGGTCTGTCTGGCTCAGGAGAGGGAGGTCCCCCGGAGGCTGAGTGCGTGTCTGGCATCGCCCAGAGCCTAGCGTGGCGCCAGCAAGCACTGAGTATCTGATAAATACTCACTGAGAGTGAGCGAGCAAATCAAGGAAAGGGAGACAGGAACCAGAAGAGCTGGGCTCCAGCCTTGCTGCCTCTCCTGGCGCGTCTGGACACGAGATCTCGTCCTGTTCCATTGCGCCTGTTTCTCCTGCACTGGGGCAGTGCGTGGCGCGGTAAGGGTTGGGGGCAGTGGGCAGGGCCAACACTCGGTCGCCCCCTTCACCCCCCTAGCCAGGTGAACATGAGCATTCACAACCGCCTGGAGCTGCGGAACTCCTCCAACGTCCTGGGGATCATCCGCGGGGCTGTGGAGCCTGGTGAGCGCCCCCTCCCGGCTCCCTGCGCCCCCAGGACCGCCCCGCTCGGAGCGCCCTGGCCACGCCCCCTCCGCCGGGCTTGGCTGACTCCGCCCTCTTGTGATTTCTCTCCTCTCGCCAGACCGCTACGTGCTGTACGGGAACCACCGGGACAGCTGGGTGCACGGGGCCGTGGACCCCAGCAGCGGCACTGCTGTCCTCCTGGAGCTCTCCCGCGTCCTGGGAACCCTGCTGAAGAAGGGTGAGGCCGCCCCCCTCCCCTGGTCCAGGGACTCTCCGTCCAGGAGGTTGCCTCCAAGCCCACTCCTTCCTAGCTCTGGGCGTCCCGTCCCGCCTCCCCCCTGTTATTCCCCAGCGCCCACTTGTGCCAAGCCTGAGGGCTCTGGGGGCAGACACGCACGGACACCAGCTCCGGCTCCGAGTCGTGCAGTGCAGACCGTTGACTAATTCACGCGGTAGCTGCGGAGAGCTTGCCCGCGCCCCTCGACGGAACGACGCGCAGGTGGCGCTGTGAGCAAGGCAGCGCCCGGGCTCTGCCCGCCGGAGCTTCCGCCCAGCGCAGGCAGGGGTGGTAGTCATGAACCGCGGACGTGTCTCAGTGCCCCCTCTACGTCGGGCCAGCTCTGAGCACCCGGGATCCCACAGTGAACACCCCAGGGTTCCTGCATGTAATGACAAGTGTGAGGCGTGCGACAAAGAAACCTATCCGAGGGGCTCTCCAGGCGCAAGTTAGACGGCAGTTCGGAGACCCAGGTGGAGGGCACGGAATGCGGCAAGGAGGGGCTGGGCCAGGCGGAGAGCCAGCAGGGCCGGTTCGGAGCCCCATCCAAGGGCGGCAGGGAGCTGCTGAGGGATTTCAGTCAAGAGAGCGGCAGGATCTACACGGCTTCCTCTGCCTCGGTGGGGAGGGCGTGGGGGACGCGCGCTGTGTGGAGGGATGGATGAGAGGCCTTGCCATCCTTAGAGACCGGGGAGATGGGAGTGGGGACCAGGTAGGGGCGGCAGAAAGGAGACGCAGTGTGAAGACCTGGGTCTGCCGGTGATGGAGGTGAGGGCCAGGACGAGCAGGCGCTGCGGGCGTCTGGCTCCTGGTCTGAGCAGCCCGTGTGTGCGGTGGGGCCGTTCACGAGAAACCACACAGGGTGGGAGGGCTGGTCTCTGAGCCGGGGAGAAGGACAGAATGTGGTTCCTCACATAATGACTTTGTGTTTCTTTTTTATTGTGGTAAAATATACGTACCGTAAAATTTACCCTTTTAACCGTTCACCCTCACAGTGTTTTAATTTTGAAGTTTAAGGACTTAGGACCGTACTTGGGTGTAACTACCTCCCAGGCACAGGCAGGCCGGGGGACCCTTGATTCTCAGTGCTGGGGGGGGTGCAACATTATGGTTTCACATCTCGTATGCGCTACAAGGCGGTCACCCCCGAAAGTCTAGTTACTGCCCCCCTTCACCCTGTCTGCCTGCCACCCAACCTTCCCCTTTGGTAGCCACTGACCTGTTCTCCATGTCTTTGAGTTTGTTTCTGTTTTGCTTCATGTGTTTGTTACCTTCTGGCCATTTGTAAGTGCACAGGGCAGTGGCATTAAGCGTCTCTGCAGTGTTGTGCCGCCACCAGCACCAGCCACCTGCAGAAGGTTTTCCATCTTCCACTGGGCGTGGCGTTCTGAAGTTACAACCATCTAATTTGAATCGGTACCAACTTAACTTCAGTCACATGCAAAAACTCCGTTCCTACAAAACTCTGTTCTTCCCCTTTATGCTATCCGTGTCACACACTACATCTTTACAGATCGTGTGCCCGTTCTCGGACTGATTTCGAGGTGCCCAGGAGACACTAGGGGAGAGGGCGAGCGGGCAGCTGAAGGTGCAGGTCTCCAGGTTCGAAAGAGACCGGAGAGTCAGTGGCACTGATGGTGTGTGAACCCACGGCTGTGGTTGTGGTTGTGGTCGTGGTTCACTGATGGGGGTGGACAGTGCGGAGAAGAATCTGTGCAGAGAGGCTGGGCTTTTGATCTGACCCCCTTTGCTAGTGCAGGAATGTCTGTCTTTGTTATTACGGTTGTTAAGTGTTTTATTTTGAAATAATTTCAGACTTACAAAAGAGTTGCAAAAGGAGCACTGAGAAGCCTTGTTTGCCCTTCAACCAGACGTTCCTAATATTAATGTATCGCCTTGTTTGCTCTGTATTTATATTTTTTTCTGGAGTGTTTGAAAGTTGCAGAAGCGCTGCACCTTGAGCCATAAACGTGTCACTGTGTATCCCCTGAAATAACCACAGGGCCGTGTCCGTGTCGGAGTCAGGAAATTCACGATGTCGTCACTGCTCCTGTAATGACCTTTAGAGCAGGAGTCTCCTGGTTCAAGAGCCACCCAGGACCGCCCGGTGCATGCGCAGTGGCTGCGTGGGTTCTGTGTAACAGTTCGTCACCTGCTCTTTGTCTTTCTTGGTTTTGGTATCGTGCTGTTGAATGTCCTTCAGTTTGGGCTTGTTGGATTAGATTCAGGCTATTCATTTTTGGCAGGGGAAAGTATGGGAATTTGTCACTGCAAGCACGTAATGATTTTATACTTACTTTTTCCACTTACAACAAAAAAGACAAGGAATGATCAAAGGGGATTGAGCCACAGCCAGAGGTGGGAGCACGACCAGGAGCACGTGTCACCATGGAGGGTGACAGGGCATCTGGGGGAAGTCCTAGGAGGACCACCAAGGCTTTTGGGAGGTGGCTGGGGACCGTGGCAAGAGCAGCGTGGGCACCGAGGCTGGAGATGGAAGCCGGGCTGCAGGAGGCTGTGAGGCCGTGCGGGGCATCGATTAAGCCCCTGGACTCTGCAGCCAGACCTTGGATTTCAGCCCTGGTTCTGCTGCCTACCCACTGTGTCCTTTAACTTGTCCGTGACTCAGTTTTCTCAGCTGTGAAATGGAGACAACAGTAGTCTCTTTCTCAAGGCGTGGTTGTGAGGGTTAGCTCAGTGTGGATAAAGCCCTAGGAGGACGTTACTCTATCGTCCCCAGGTGAAGAAGGTTATGGGCCGGTTTTTCATAGGCTGCATGGAGAAGGGACGGCGGGTGCAGGGTCGGGAGGCCGTCTCAAGAGCATACCTCGAGAGCGAGCGAGGAGGGAGGCAGGGCATTCTGGCAAAGGGACCGCCGACCTGACCGAGGGAGGTTAGCGTTGCAGGCAATGTTGAGGCGGTGGAGAGGTGTCCCCACAGAGGGAGGCTGGGAAAGGAGCCTCCCGGGAAGGCTCTGCTGGAGAAGTGTCAGGACTTACCGGTCGGCTGCCCCGCCCCTTCCAGCTCTCCGTCCTCTCCCTGTCCCCAACCTTTCCTTTAAGTCACCTCCGGAGGCGGAAGCCCCTGCCCTCTAGCCCTTTATCCTCGTCCGCAGGCACCTGGCGCCCCCGCAGATCGGTCGTGTTTGCGAGCTGGGGAGCAGAGGAGTTTGGGCTCATCGGCTCCACAGAATTCACGGAGGTGAGTGAGCCTCCAGGGCGGACGATCAAGGGGATCCCCGGGGCCGGGCGGGGCCAGGCTGACGTCACCCCGCCCACCCGCAGGAGTTCTTCAGCAAGCTGCAGGAGCGCACCGTGGCCTACATCAACGTGGACATCTCGGTGTTCGGTATGGGGGGCGTCTGGGCTGACTGAGGAGGAGGGAAATAAAGGGGCTGGGGCCCTGATAGAGTCTCCCTCTGACCCTCCCACAGCCAATGCCACGCTGAGGGCTCAGGGAACGCCCCCGGTCCAAAGCGTCATCTTCTCGGCAGCCAAACAGGTGGAAGGGGCGGGGCCGGGCGGGTGCTTTCCTTAGGGGCTAGGGGCGGGGACTGAGGCTGGGGGCGGGGCTTGTAGGGCCCGCCCGACTGCGCCTAGGCCGGAGACTAGGGTGGGCGGGGCAGAGGCTCCCTTAATTGTTGGGCTTGGGGAGGGGCCAACCCTGAGACTAGGCTCCCCTCGGGTCAGATTCCTGCACCGGGCCCCGGCGGCCTCAGCATCTACGACAACTGGATCCGGTATTTCAACCGTAGCAGCCCGGTGTATGGCCTGGTCCCCAGGTGAGCCCAGGGCCGGAACCGGGGCTCCTGGTGGGCGGGCTGGCCCAGCAGCCTCTAACCCATCTTCCGTCCCGCAGCTTGGGCTCTCTGGGTGCCGGCAGCGACTACGCTCCCTTCGTTCACTTCCTGGGCGTCTCCTCCATGGACATCGCCTACACCTATGACCGGGTGAGCGGCAGCCCCTCCGTCTCCCAGCCCCATAGTCGGCTCCACCAGTCGGCCCCTCCTCCTTCGGGCTGCTCTAGTGCCGCCTGAATCCGGCTCCATCACTCACGCAGTCGCTGTGCTACCTCTGCCAAGTTCCCTAACTTCTCTGAGAATCTGCTCATGCTCATCTGATTTATCCAATTTAATATGCTATTGATGATGCCCTGGCCAGGTAGGTCCTTGGTTAGAGCACCGCCCAGGTGGGCCAAGGTTGTAGGTTCAGATCCTGGTCAAGGCACATACCAGAAGCAACCAATGAGTGCGTGTAAGCGGAACAACAAACCAATGTTTCTCCCTCCCCCTCTCTCTCTCAAGTCAATACATAAATGTTTAAAAAAGATTTTTATTTATTTTTATACAGAGAGGAAGGGAGAAAGAGGGAGAGAAACATCAATATGTGGTTGCCTCTCATGCACCCCCTACTGGGGACCTGGCCTGCAACCCAGGCATGTGCCCTGACTGGGAATCAAACCAATGACACTTTGGTTTGCAGGCTGGTGCTCAATCCACTGAGCCACACCAGCCAGGGCTCAATAAATAAAATTTAAATAGATACTGTTGATTGTAAGATGCACCGTTACGGCATGCACAAACCCACAGCCAGCTATTTGTAGGGTAACACTGACTGTAAGGAGCATTATGATTCCAGAGACCCTAAAATGTGAAAAGTTGCTTATCTCAGAAGATTAAATAACAGTATAAAACAGGGGTGAGTCACACTACGATAGTGAAATGAGGTAAGGGGTGCAGAGTACCCAGCCTGTGTCTCCAAAATCAGTTTCTCTCCTTCATGGCCACACTGCTCCTGGGCAGTGAAGCTGGATTTAAACCCGAACTCCAAAGCCCCAGGCTCTTCTTTATGTGAAATGGGAAACTGGCGCCTGCCCCAGCTCTGCCATTTACTAGCTGTGTGACATCAGGCAAGTCACTTAACCTCTCTGAGCATCAGATTCTTCCTCTGTAAAGTGAGGCTTCTAAAACCTACCTCGTAGATGGGGCAGTGACTTGATACATGTCCCCACATTGTCGCTCACTGTAGGAACACCCCCTCCCTCTTCCCATCTCAAGCCTGTTACCTCCGGGCTTTGTCTCCCCAGAGCAAGACCTCCGCCCGCATCTACCCCACCTACCACACAGCCTTCGACACCTTCGGTTACGTGGACAAGTTTGTGGACCCCGGTGAGCAGAGGCGCAAGGGCACCCTGGGGCTGGAGGAGGGTGGGCTGAAGACCGAGCCCTGGCCTCATCGCCCCCCCCCCGCCCCCACAGGCTTCAGCAGCCATCAGGCCGTGGCCCAGACGGCGGGGAACGTGCTTCTTCGGCTCAGTGACAGCCTCTTCCTGCCTCTCAACGTCAGTGACTACAGTGAGACCCTCAGAAGCTTCCTGCAGGCTGCCCAGCAGGACCTCGGGGCGCTGCTGGAGCAGCACAACATCAGCCTGGGTACGGAGGCCCCTGACCTTGAGGCCCAGGGAGACCTGCACTCCCAGGGCTAAGACGCCGGCTGTACCCCACAGGGCCTCTGGTGGCTGCCGTGGAGAAGTTCGAGGGGGCAGCGGTGGCCTTGGGACAACGCATAGCAGCGCTGCAGAAGGGCACGTTCGAGTGAGCGAGGGCCGCCAGCAGGGGTCTGGGGGTGGGGGTGGGGCGGCATCCGGGGCAGGATGCAGGCTGGCAGCTGGGCTGCTGGCTCCAGTGCCCAACAGGCCCCGCCCCCTCCAGCCCTCTGCAGGTCCGGATGCTCAATGACCAGCTGATGCTCTTGGAACGGACCTTCCTGAACCCTCGAGCCTTCCCAGAGGAACGCTACTACAGGTGAGCTGTCCTGGGGCTCTTGGGAGATGCGGCGGGGTGAGGCTGGGTCATGGGCATCGAGGAGGGGATGCAAATCAGCCAAGGTCACCCGGGACTAGAACCCACACCTGCCGCCGCCACTGCTGTAACTGCCCTAGCTTTTAGAGGCAGCGGGAGGTGCTTTGATGCCTAGCTTTATACAGTTGAGCCCGTTCCAGGCTGAAGCTCCCACATCTGACCCCCAAATGACCCTGATTCTTCCTTATTTCTCCCATTAGCCACGTGCTCTGGGCTCCGCGCACCGGTCCCGTAGCCACATTCCCAGGGCTAGCCAATGCCTGTTCCACGGCCGTGAACACAGGCCCGGGATCTTACGCCTGGGCTGAGGTGCAGAGGCAGCTCAGCATTGTGGTGGCGGCCCTGGAGGGTGCGGCAGCCACCCTGAGGCCTGTGGCTGACCTCTGACCCCGGCCCTCCTTCCTTGACCCCCCCTTATCCTATCCCTCTCCCACTCCAGTTTTCTTTGGGTGTGTCCCTCCTCCCCAGTGCCAAGAGCGGGCACAGCCACAGGATCCCCTCAAGCTTCTGAGGCAACAGCTCAGGGTCCCACTGGTTGTGGTCACCTGCGGGGAGTGACAAGCCCTGGGGGAAAGTCTCCCTCAGTCTGGCTCTTGGTTGGCAGAGGGTGGAGAACAGGAGGTGGGGACGGTGGGAACGGCAGGACTCCCGGTGGTCCTTGGTGGGGGCGGGGTGAGGAAAGGACGCATGATGCCAGCCTTAGATGCCAGGTCGGGGTCCACCAGGGCCACCCCTCAGGGGCCGGCAGGGGAACTGAGGCCCAGGGTAAATAGCACCTTGCCCACCCTGAGTTCCTCCACCCTCAGACCCCTAGCATTTCTCACCCCCTCCCTGCCCTCCCCCAAATAAATCAAGCCTAGCTGTTATCCCTACAAAACAAGTCCCTTTTATTGTGCGGGATAAACGGAAAAGACACCCGAGTGCTCCCACCCAGTCCCGGGCTCCTCACGCCCGTGACTTGGATCCGTCCCCACCCTCATCTTCCTCCTCTGCCATGACTACTTCCTCCAGGGTCCGCCCTCCCAGCTTGCTGCCCACCAGCACTCTGCAGGCCCCGGTGGGCGGCAGTCCTCCCTCCGAGTAGCGGCCCCGCAGGAACACGACCCTCTCCTGTCCGTCCAAGGGCAGTCCGTGGGCCTGGCAAAGGTCCTGGGCCTCCTCGGGCCCGTCCAGCGCCAGCAGGTGGACCACAAACCCCAGGGGTATGGTCTGGCCCCTGGGGGTGCTCAGGGCAGAAGCGAGGCGGGCCAGGGCTTGGCGGCGGGCAAGGCCCACGTGGCACTGCACCGCACAGCTCTGCAGGTACGGCAGGGCCCGGAGCAGGCGGAACAGGCGGGCGGCGTTGCCTTCTCGGAAGGCCGCGTCCACAGCCAGGGCTGTGCGCAGGGCTGGGCAGGAACGCAGGGCAGCGGGCAGCTGCAGAACCTCGTTAAGGGCCTCCACCGAGCCTGCAAGGGCGGGAAACTGGGATGAGATTGGGAGAAGGCCTTCCAGGATCAGGCCCACCTGCCAGGCCACGCTCTTGTACGTCCCCCCCCCCCCCCCCCAAAACCTGCACACCACCAGCTGCAGTCCTCCACCAAGCCCCTCTCCCCACCCCAGTCCTGCTTGCCAACCCCTCAGGGGCCAGCAGGGGAACTGTGGCCCTGGCCACGCCCCTCCCCTGGGCCAAGCCCACCGTCTCTCTCTCTTCCCCTCGGCCTTTCCTGAGCCTTATCTGAGTGAGTTGCCAGAGGCTGACCCTAAAGTGAGGCAGTGTTCATGGGTGAGGGAAACAGGCCCGGATAGCTTAACCACTTGCCCGAACCACTTGCCTACAGTTCATCCGCAGTAGCAACCACTCCGGTGACATCCAGGTTTTCTGACCGGAACGCAGCCCTTCCGCCTTTGCCCTGTCTGCCCCTCAGGTGAGGGCACAGGCTCAGCCACCCCTCCCCCGTCCTCCTGGTAAGGCCGTTTCTTCCAGGAGATACGGACCCTGCTTCCCTTCCAGAAGAATCACAGATACTGGAACCTTTGGCCGCTTTTGTAAACTGATGCTCCTGACCCGTTAGTGGGTTGTGAAGTCGACAGCATTTTATTACATTTAAACAGAACTTACTAGAATGCACCACACGCCCACCAAGGATCTTAGGTCTTGAAACTTAGGTCTCAGATGCATTGGTAGGCATAGTGTTCTTGGATGCACTACAACGCTGACCCGAGGCTTAAAAACTTTGAAAATTACTATCTAGGCCAACTTCCCTGTTCCAACCCCATCCCCTCCACGTTTATTAGCAGAAAACGAACACAGATGAGGAGGCACAGGCCTCCAGGCCCACCGCGGGGTCGGTGCTTTGACACCCATTTAAGAGGCGGGGCGGGGAGAGGGCTGAACCGGTAAGACGTTAGAGCTTCTCTTTCCTTCCCGGCATCCACGGTCCACATATGGGGTAACCCGTCCCTGCATTCTGTCCCGCCGCCGGGACCCCCCTACTCACCCAGGTTGTAGAGCAGAAAGAGGCCCTGGAAGGCGGCTTGGCGGGGGTGCGGCCCGGGGCCCCGCGCGTAGCAGCGCCGCAGCGAACCGAAGCCCTCTTGCACCTGGGCCTGCAGCAGCACCGGGTCCGCGGGCCCGTACGCTGCGTTGGGCCCGAGCCGCGCCACCACGGCCAGCAGCACAGCCAGCGCCGCCTCCAGCACCACCGCCGCCTCGGCGTCACCGGCGCTCTGCAGGGCCAGGTCCAGCCGCACGGCGCGCAACCGGTCCGCCACGAAGCTGGCCACCTCCACGCCGGATGCGTCTGCGCGCTCGGCCACCTCACCCGCCAAATAGCGAACGGTGGCCAGGAGCACGGACGGCGGACGGAGCTGGCTCGGCTGGGGTCGGGCCTTGCCGGCGGCCGGCCGGCTGTACTCCTTCACAGCGCGCTGCGGGTCAGCGCGGGGACGGTCCCCGCGGCACCCCGGAGCCACCTCGAAGCGATGCAGGCGCCCCTCCTTTTCGCGTTGCGAGCGCTCGGCGGCCGGGCACATGTCCGGGCATGTGCCCACCGGCAGCTCGCAGCCGGGCATGGGTGGGCTGGGGGAAGAGGATGGGCGCTCAGCATCCCGAGGGCGGCGGCGGCGGCCCCTCGTCCCATTTTGTGGGGTACGGGGGCGGGGCAACACGCGGAGACTGGCAGAAGCTCGGAGAAGACGGGGCGGAGTGTAAGGACCCCGCCACCCATCCGGCAACCGCCCTCCTCTCACCGAGTCCTCCGGCCTCCCACCAAGCCTCCGCAAGCAGGTTTCCCGAGATGCACTGCGTTGTAGTTCAGTACCGGTCCGCTCGCTCAGTACTGGCAACCGTCCCCAGAATGCACCGCGCCGCTGAACACAATGCCACTCCCATGATACCCCGGTTTGTAGTCCTTCCCGCAGCCCGTGGCTCTGCCAGGGCGGCCGGGTGAGGGTGGGCGGGGCGGACAGGGGCGGAGCCACGCCTTCCCAGCGCACTTCCGAGACGGGTTTGGTTTTGGGCAGCCAGCTCCGCAAAGGGAGCACCCACGCTTCGGGTTCCCCCGCATCATCCCCGTGGACTAATAAACTGGCCCAATCGGCCTTCCTGTCATTCTCACTGTCTCCCTGGAGACTGTTTTCTAGATCTGGGGTCTGCAAAGTTTCTGGAAAAGGCCAGATAGTTAATGTTTTAGGACTTTCCGCGGCAACTACACACTCAACTGCAACTGTTCCACTCCGCTGGTGTAGCGGGAAAGCAACCACAGACAACACCAAACAAATGAGCCTGGTTGTGCTCCCATAAAGTTGTATTTTTAGATACTTAAATTTCCTATCATTTTCACCTGCCACAGAACATTATTCTTTTGATTTTTTTCAACTATTAAAAAAATGCTAGAACCATTCTAGCTCACGGGCCTTACAAATAAAGGCAGTGGGTCAGATCTGGCTGCAGGCTGCGGTTTGCAGACCCTGTGGTTCTAGAAGGGTAAACGGGCAGTTTAGTGACCAGAGCTGCTGCTGCTCACACATCAAGACGGAGACAGGCAGGATCAGAAGTCAGTCCCTGATTCCACGCGGGCGGGTGTGGTCAGGGGACCGAGAAGTCATCCTTTTTCTCATTCTTGGTCCAATTACATACAGAAATGGCCCCTGGAGTTACAAGAGCAGAGATAGGGCCAGGCCCCAGGGAGAGGAGAAAGGGGTGGCCGGCAGTGCTAGAGCTCGAGTCCCGGGCAAGGGTCCAGTCTCTCTCAGGGTGGTGCTTGGGACAGGTGCAGGCGCAGGATCTCCTCGGCCCGCTTCAGGTACTCAGCTGCCTTCTTCTTCACCCCTTCCCGGCGGGCGGGCGATGGGTCATCTGTGCAGGGAAATGGCTCAGCTGAGGTTCAGAACCCCTGGTCTAGTCTCTTACAGTTCACAGAGCATCAACGTGTGTCTTTCCCCACCCCTGGGGGGTCAGACCTATTCTCCCCATTTTACAAACAGGAAAACTGAGGCCACAAGAGGTAGAGAAGCTGCCCAGGGGTACATAGCTGCTCAGCGAGGAGCAATTCTCATCCTTGACTTGCTTTTCCTCACTTTCCCTTCCCCCCGCCGCACCACCCAGACCCCGGGCCTCGCCCTCCTCCCTCTGGCCCTGCTCACCGGGAACTCCCCGAAGCAGGACGTGCACGCCATCCCGGTAGCCCTGCAGCGCTGCGGGGTAGGCGCCCGCCTTCTCGTCCCGCAGGGCCTGGGTGATGAGCTCCGTGGCTCGGCTCAGATAGGCAGGGGTGGGCCCTCCTTCCTCAGCTTCTTTCTCCTCCTGGCCTCCTGGCTCCCAGGGCTCCTGGTCCAGCCTCTCGGACTCTGCCTCCATTGCTGCCAGCTCGCCCACGTGGGTAGGACTGGGGCCCGCACCTTCTGCAACCAGACATGGAGGACTCAGGCCACACCGGCCCTCGCTCTCCCAGGGCCTGCTGCTCAGCCCCCGACCTCTCTTGCCCATTAGGGTGCCAACCTGTCTCAGGTACAGGGGAAACTAGTCACACTCTATCTGGTGGAGTTCATATGCTTTTGAAACAGCACCTACCTTACCAACTCCTCCTTTAGGTGCACATTAACATTAGCTTGCAAGCCTGAGTCAGTGGTCCTATTTCCCATCTCACTACAGCTGATCTGTCAATCTAAGAATCCCCTGCATAAAGTTTAACTGAATGCTAGACCAACAACGCCAGGTGAAGTGTAGAAATATTCCAAGCCTTGGAATTTTAGGGCTTTTTTGGAGGTCTTACAATTTCAGCTGAGTCTCTACATGTGCAAACACTAGGTAGTAGGTATCCCCACGTTCCAGAGGAAAGGGCTCAGTGCATCCCCCGGGACTGGCAAAGAGGTGGTTGAACATCCCCTCTGCAGCTTATATGAAAGAAAACCAGAGATCTGATGAATCTGTGATGAAAGGGCCTTCGAAGGGAAGGCGCCGGAGCAGGAAGCACCGTGGTGCACCACTGGCCTGGAGACGGAAGTGTGGCTCTCTCCCCGACCCCATCCAAGGGACCCCATGGACCCGCAGCCAGCCCTCCCTGTGTGGCCAACGGAGCAGGAGGCGGAAGAGTTTTGGTACGCCTTCGAGTTCCGGAGCGTGGTACGTGTGACGAAGACGCAGCGCCGCTCTTGCCTGAGTGTTCTGGTGGCGAGAGGCTGGCTGCAGGTGCCCACAAGAGCGGGGCGAGAAGACGAGGCAGCCCCCGAGCAAACCGCACTTCCCGGCTTTGAGAGGTCCAGGACTGGTGAGTTTTCCCAAGGGCCGAGGGAATGTCTCGTGGGAGCGGCCTCTGGGGAGTCCTGACTCCTCATCTGGCTACCGGGCACCCCAGGCTGGGGCAAGGCACAGTACTGGGACAGCTGCCTCTCAGAGCCAGGTACACCCGGCCCAGCGACACCAGCCCTGCCTTTCCCCTCCGGTTCCTTCTTCCTCCTCCCAGCCCGGGGGTGGGCCGGAGTAGGAAGGGGAAGGCGCATAACTAGAAGAGCCAAAGAACCCTCCTCATCCCCTTGGTCACGGTGACCAGGGGCCGGGCCACCAGTCGGGCCTGAGTAGGCTGTGGTGGGAGAGGCTGAAAACTGGGTGAGAGACGAGGCCCTGATTTGGACCAGACAGGGTGACAGAGCTCAAATGCCTGAAACTGATCAGGACGCTCAGGGTCTTCCAGGAGGTCACCAAGGGGCGGAGACGAGAAGCCAACAAAATGGGCTCAGGAAGGCTGCTGAGGAATCCAAAATGAAACTGATTCGTGAAGATCCCAAAGCCAGAGCAGCCACCGCAGCACCCCAGCTGCAGGGACGGCATGGATTTGGGGAATTGCACAGTGCGGAGACCCAGTGTCTCAGAGCCTGGGCCTCCCAGGTCCCCTGATCTCAGCTGCCAGCTCAGGACCTGGGCCTCCAGGGGCCCCTCCCACCTTGGTGCCCCCGCACGCCAGTCGCTGCTCCAGGGCCTCCCCCACCGCTCTCAGCCCAGGCCTCCCTCCCCATGACCGTGACCGACAGGCCTCTCCTGACTTCAGCATCCGCATCCAGACCCTGCGCCTGACAGGGAACCGCCACCTCGAGCTTGCAGCTCAAACCCTCCTAGAGCCAGGTGACCCCTGATCATTCCAGAGCGTTCTCAGGGAGAAGGTGCCCTCAAGGGAAGTGGCTTATTCCACCCTCCCACCCCCCGCCCCCGTGGCTGGTCCCCGGATGGGGGCATCCGGCTTGCTAAGCTCTGGCGCAGGGCAGAGGCGCCCGCTTCTCATTCTCATCCCTCATCCTCATCGAGGCTGCCGCCTGCCTGCAGAGGGCACCGTTCTCAGGTGTGCACAGCCACCGCAGGCCAGCAGGTGGCCCTGCCAGCCTGTCCTGAAGGACCTTCTGCCCAGCCCTCCCTCTGACTGTCCCAGCTTGTTACCTTCCTTGGAGAAGGGGTCGAAGAGGGCAAGCTCGGCCTCAGTGAGGGGGCCTCGGGCAGGGGAGCCGGACGCCTCCTCCGTGCTCCCGCAGGGGAAGAGGAGATCCAGGGCATCCTGGGCAGGGCTGGAGGGCAGGGGGTCCGCTGAGGAACAGATCAGTGGGGACACTCATATCTGCCCTCATCACTTCACGGCGTTCAACACGGAGCTCCCTCTCACTGAATCCTTGCAGCACACCAGGGGCACAGGCAAGCCCATTCGTAGACTTTGTGCCCATTTTACAGATTAAGAAACGACAGCCCCGATGCCCTGTGCGGAGCTCCCGGCAGGTTAGTAGCGGCGGAGCTGCCACACATCCCAAGCTTTTCACTAAGATCACTGAGGCGGGAGCGTGCCCCCCACCCCACCCCACCCCACTCTGGACCCTCCAGCCTTGGTTCCCTCCCCACCCAACGTACCCGGCACCTCCAACTCCTCAAGGCCCCTCTTCTCCGCGGGGAGCGGCTGGGGCAACCAGGACTCCTCAGGCGGTGGCTGGGGCTCCTCAGGGGGCGGCGTGGGGATCAGAGGGGGTGGCAAGATGTGCAGGTCCCTGGACACCTGGGAGGGCCGGGTCACCTCCCCACCCTGCAGGAGAGAAAGACCAGATGGGAGGAGTGGCAGGGTGCAGGCCGGAGGGCGAGGGCGGGATGGTTTCCCAGGGGCTGGGCTGGGCAGGGGGACGAGCGCGCGCACGTACCCGGAAGAACTCCTTGAGTTGGGGGCTGTTGTTGAGCGCGGGGATGTGCACGGTGAAGCGAAGCAAGTCCTCGGCCCCCTTGCGCCGCTCCTCGATGACAGAGGCTTCGAACCTGCCTGCGGCCCCCAGGAACAGGGGCAGGAAGAGAAGCTGTGGCTCACGGGGCCTCGGGCTCCCAGGCCACTTTTCCTGGTTCTGCCGGAGAGGATCGGAACAGCTCGCCGCCCTCCCCGTTCTCCCAGCAGCCTTCCTTGGTTCTTCCCGCGGTGGGGGGTGCTTGCGAGAGGGGACCGGTCTCCCTGTTCATCCATTCACCAGATGTTTATTGAGCACCTACTATGTGCTAGGCTCACAAGGTAAATGCGACAGAAGCAAGGTCTCTGCCCTCGTGGGTGTCACATCTTAGACAAGGAGAGGCAGGCAACCAACAAGAAACAAAGTAATTTCAGGTGCCTTTGGTGTAACGAGGAGGAAAGTAAGGCTCAGAGAGGGGCAGTGACTTGCCCAAGGTCACGCAGCAAGTAGCCCCGCCCTTTTTGCTGCTCTGTTCTAGGTATGCAGCGTGACCTCAGTCTGGCCTAGTTACCACGCTGCCTCAGGGAGCAGCCTGCCGCGCTCCCCCCTGCCTGGCACCCCTGCCACAGCCGCCTCCAGCTTGCTGCGGAAGAACATCCCATGGGAGTCTAGAGAACCGG